CAGTTTCTCGGGAATTTATTGTACACGCTGTCAGCATTGCAACTTTTACGGTATTACCCTGTTCGTCTAATTTAATTCGTGATAGGGCATCTGCTACGATATTTTCCTTTCCGGGGGTATGCTTGATTACCAGATTATATTCTTGCAGCTTGAGTGCCCATCTTATTAACCTTGGGGATAAATTTTTCCCAGAGTACAATCTAGTTACCGCCGCATGATCAGAATATACTGTTATCGGCGCCTTTCCAAAATAGACTCGGAACTTTTGCACTGCTAACAGAACTGCAAGTGCCTCTCTCTCGGTCGCGGAATAGTTTCTTTGTGTTTGATTTAAAGTTCGGCTAAAAAATGCCACGGGCTGCTGATTTTGCGAAAGTACCGCTCCTACCGCATAATCCGAAGCATCCGCTGAAATTTCTAAATTTTCATCCTTTTCAGGAAATTTCAACACAGGGGCTTGCGTTAATGCTTGTTTTAATTTTTCGAAAGCACTATTGGCTTCGGCCGTCCACGAGAATCTTGCCTTTTTCCTTTTTAATTTTAACAATGGCTCAGCGATAGCCGCAAAATCTTTTATAAAGGACCTATAATATGAACAAAGTCCTAGAAAAGAAGAGAGCTTCTTTGCCGTGTTTGGAGTCGGATACTTTTGTACAGCGATTATTTTTGATTCATCTGTCTCGATCCCTTTTTGCGATATTTTGTAACCTAAATATTTTAATTCAGGGGCTGCAAATTTGCACTTTTCGACATTAACTTTTAGACCGGCCTCATTTAATAAAGAAAACACCTGTCTTAAATCCTGTACATGTTGGTCGAGATTATCACTAGTAATAATGATATCGTCTAAATAGATAAATGTGGACTTTCCGAGAACAGGTCTTAACACAATGTCCATGCATCGCTGAAATGTTGCTGGGGCGCCTGAAAGGCCAAACGGCATTACGCAAAAATGCATAAGTGCCAGACTTGGTTATAAAAGCAGTCTTAGGCACGTCCTCAGGCCTGACCCCTATTTGAAAATAACCATTCGTTAAGTCTAAAGTCGTCATAAATTTGGTTGATTTTATGTTCCTTAAAATTTCTTCTATAATCGGTAACGGATATACCGGATATTTCGTTATGGAATTTAATTTACGGTAATCAATAGCGAATCTCCACCTTTTTGGATGCTCCAAAGGATAATCATTATTTTTCTTACATAAAACCACCGGACTAGCATAACTACTTGAGATAGGCGTTATGATCTTTTTACGTAGCATATCGGTAATATGCCATTCTATAATTTTTTCCTTATTCTTATCATACCGGTATGGTTTTTGACGAACCGGCAATGCATCTCCGGTGTCAATACTATGGTTAGTAACCTGGAGTAAATCCTGGAATATCACTAAATAAGGAAGCAAATTCACTTACCACTTGTCGGATTCTATCTTGCTCGTCATTAGGCAGGTGGTCAAGATTTAACCTTGGCGGTTCAACCTTTTCTACACGCACTGGTTTCATCGTCAGCTTAAGGACGCTTCATTAAAATCCAGTGTAGCTTGTGCGTCTGAAAGAAAGTCTATTCCTAGTATTAAATGTGCTTGCAAATTCTTTACTATAAAAAACATCACCTTTACTTGTTCGTCCTTGATACGGATGTACAAAGGTACTTTACCTACGCACTTACATTGTTCTCCTTGCGCCGCTAATACTGTTGTATTATCCGCATTATATATGCGGTATTTGCGAAAATACTTTCTAAAAAAGACTTCTGCCACACAGGAACACTGCGCGCCGGTATCCAGGAGTGCGGTGGCCGGGATATTATTTACCAAGACTTCAATCTTCGGAAGAGTTCAAATTTTTCACCATTACTGTATTTAACTTGTAGGAAGAGGGGTTTTCGTGGCCTTCGGATTTCCGCACCCTCTCGTCAGCAGAAATCCGTTTTAGTTTAAATTATTTTTTCCTTTCGGTGCTTTCCTTCTTTTTTTCCACTGGCCTTGAGACTTTTTTCCTGGGTTGCTATTGAACTGTCGACGTTCGCCGGCTGTTTTTGAATGCTCGGGTTTCCTTGCCCACTGATTCGCGCTTTTTCTCCGTAGCCATGTGCTTGAGTTTGCTGTAGTCTTGGCGTACCAAATTGGTTTCGCTGTTGATATTGGCGTCTTCTTTCGACGTCCGCCGTTCTTCTACTTTCAAACTGGATTGCTAGCTCAAATAACTTTTCCAGTGTAGTCGGATTTCTCAATTCAATAAAGTCTTGCACTTGGGGTAGTAACCTCGGCAAAATCACTTGAATTATTTCAGGATCCGGACGGTTTCCATACAAGAGCTTGAAAACGTGAATTTTTCTTAAAATAAAGCTCGAGAGGTTTTCCGATTCTTTGTTGATATATACTGAAAAGTTCTGTTTCTAATTTCGCACGATCCCTTACAACAGGGAAGGCTTTTAGTAGGGCAGTCTTGAAATTTTCGTAAGTATAGGTGGGACTTCCTGCTTGACCCAAGAGACTTCTGCCGATACATTTGAACCAGTTAAGCGCTTGGCCCCTCAAAGCGCTGGTAGCTAAGGTAACTTTTTGAAACTCGTGCACGGGGTAGAGAGCATGAAGTGGTCATCCAATTTTTCCAAAAAACTGGTTACCGGTGAGTTTCCATTAAACGTTGCTTCTGGTTTCATCGAAGCGCGCATGGTCTGGACAATGTACCCAAATCCTTCCAGGGCGGCAGCTGGCATTTCTGGATTCTGAGCCGTTTCTGCAGGCAGCACAGGTTCTTCTTGAAACTCGGCCATGGTTATTCTTCTTCGTTGGGCGCCACTATCAGGTTCAATGTTTCTTCTAACCTTCTTCGGGAACATACAATGACCTGACTAGAACAGAGAGCTTACTAAAGCTATGTTCACTAATTGTAGTAAGTAGACAGGATACAGACGAAGGGTATACAAAACCCTTTATTTTTTCTTCTATATACAATGACTTCCGTACTTCGGAATACAATGACCCTCCACTCGGGGTCTAACGTAAAAGATATCAAAATAAAACTAAACTCTAATTTAACTTTAGAATAATAACGTGGAAGATTGGCCTTATAATAACAGGAAGCGTATGTAGCACAGAGACTGTGAACACTACAATACGTTTAATTTATCAAGAGGATTAAAACCTCTGGCCTGGAAGGCAAAGTAGCAACTGCGTAACTTCTAAGGTAAGCGGCCTGCTTCGAACTCACGGCTTCCTCTCTTTCGCTTGGCAAAAAGGCCACACTTAAATACTTGGCGTTCGCCAGACAACTTTGCATAAAAAAAACCTTCACGCTTATAATTCTGGCCGGAAGTAGAAAATAAGAAGTGATAGTAAAGATTTAAAATAAAATAAACGTTAGTAAAACTTAAGATCCTTACAGCTTCACAGTTAGTACGGTGATACTATACCTGTACGAAAAATAATGAAATTCTGGTATTTCATTCATCTGTACTTGTATCATTCACGTGTTAATATTGAAAGAGACGCTTCAGTGACTGTAAACGATGCTTGTGAAGCCACAGGTCAAAGTAACCAATATCTTTAAATGGTCACTGAGGTAATTTATTTTGACAGTCTCTCTAAATGTGATGGAAAGCCTACACCTATAAACTATTGGTCGCCTCCGATGTTTGTCAAAGCGGTAACAGTTGGCCTTGAAGGCAAACAAGTCTTAGCGGTATCTTACGATTTAATTTTAATTATAGTAATTTATCTAGATATACTGCTTTGCCCCACATCGATTATCGTTGACCCGTAGTCACCAGTGGCCAGTGGCCTTGATGATCATGCTCAGCTTAATTTTACTTCAATAATTTACTATTTCGCCACACCACATTAGTTACCATTAACCAGTGGTCACTGTGTATTCATTAGGTTTTTCAAGCAGGAAACATGAAATATCAGCAATGCCGGTCTTCAGAATTCGAATTTTGGACATTCCGATTGCCGGAAGTACGTCCAGTTTCATGATGAAGGCCACTTGCTGAGAAAGGAGAATGTTCCTTACAACTGGTGACTTCGGTTTAAATTAATTTTTAAAAAAAATATCTAACTGATATAATTTTAGATATGTTTAATATAAATATCTGACAGATACATTTTATAAACACTTGCAGCGCTTTTTTAAGAATAATAAAAGGTGTTTCTTACAACGCATATTACGTGCGTAATAAAGAAAAGTATGGCTTAAAAATGTGAAAGCCGATTATGGGAACAAATGGCTCCATAACGTTTTTGGTATTTTTCAGAGAACATAATTGGAATTCCGCATCATTCTGATATTCTCTAGCAATAGTTAAGTAACTAAAAAACTAAGAAAAATTAAGGCACGTCTCCACGAAAACTAGCACACCAGCCACGAAAGCAAGACTAATAGACCAAGAGGACAAAAGGGAATAAGGCCGAACTTGTCGTTAGAGAAAGACAGAGCAGGCATTGACATCAACAAAATACAAAATCTAATATTTGCAACATAAAATGTGACAGTATTTACAAAACATTTACTGTCCTAAAACTACACAAAATCAGCAAACGAAAAGAGAGCAAAACTTACAATCATAAAAGTGCGAAAAACTGAACCATATCTTGTAAGACATCACATTCTGTAAAACAATGTTTGTACATTAAAATAAGTTATGTCCACACAAAATAAAATATATTAATATCGCCTGTTTTACTAAATAAATAAAACACTTTTGTACACCAGTATGATATTTGGGAGCAAAATGTAGTAATTTATTGTTATAGAAAAGCATTTTGATAAATTCTCTTCTTAGTCCCAGAGAATGTTTCCATAGGGAAATGTTAGAGATAAGAAGACAGAACCTACTTTCTACTAACAAACTAATCTGGCAGCTACACTGAAACTCTTTCGAATCACAAACGGCTGAACAAACGCAGTCGGAAAAGAAAACATTTACTTTCGTGGATAAAAATAGCAATGCTAAAAAAACAACCAAATTATTTTTGAGTTTATAATAGTATTACCTCTTGATCTTTCTCATACTCGAGATGGAATTTGCTCTCGAAACATTCTCTCCGATCGAGGAATGCCTTCCGGTTGGTGAACTCCATCAGAAACCGGATGTACAGTCCCATGAGGGCAACGGTCACGTGACAGATGACGTCGGTGGACATCTGGCGCTGAAAATAAAAACAGTTCAGAATCAACAGTTCTGTTTCTGAGACATAAAAGTCAGCTGTAACCTAACTTTGAGTTCTTCGAAAACAGCAAATTGCAGTCAATTCCTGATTAACCAACGTAATCTAGAAGAAGAGTTAATGGTAACTCATAAAGGGCCGTTCAGATTGGGGTTTATCTGAGCTAATGGAGTCAACGCAATGTAGAGGAAGAGTTAATGGTAATTCATTAAGGGCCGTTAAGATTGGGGTTTATCTGAGCTAACGGAGTCAACGTAATCTAGAGGAAGAGTTAATGGTAACTCATTAAGGGCCGTTCAGATTGGGGTTTATCTGAGCTAACGGGGTCACTTCTATGTGTTGACTAGATCCGCTATACTTGCAGTTCAGATTTTTCAACTCGCCGCCTTATGAGGAAAAACTGGTTTTGGAGATGGATCGACTATGTCAGATGTCTCCGTTACCTCAGACAAAACCCAGTCCGAACGGCCCACTGGGGTTTATCTGAGCTAACGGAGTCAATTCCATGTGTCGACTAGTTCCGCTATGCCTGCAGTTCAGAATTTTCAACTTGCTGCCCTACGGAGATGGGTCGGCTACGTCAGCTGTCTCCGTTAGTTCAGATAAACCCCAGCGAGAGCGGCCCTTTTTAGAGTTAATCCGAGGCAGTACCTACGCTAGTTTTTTCGTCTCCTGGCCGAAACTCTGCTTGTTCTAAAGTCTGCCGTCCGGTTTCTTCCACATTTCCAAAAGTTTTGCCGCCTCTAAATTTTTCAGCCGGGTGCGACTACACCAGTTGCATAGGCTATGGTGCCGAGACTGATTCGAGGGCAATTAAAAAAAACATAGGGAAGAGAAGCAACCCATGCTATAATTAACAGGAAAATATTACCAACAGTCTCCCTCAGTATAACAGGAAAATACTAGCAGAATATCTCGATGACCGTGGGTAAGCAGTTTAATTTGAAGTATGAATTTATTTGGTTACGTAAATTAAATCAATATTCAAAATAAAATAATTACACTATAAATAACGGAAGGATAAACATCAAAGAAACTAAGGTACAAATGGCAATGAAGAATAGTAATTACAACATAACTTGAACAATGTCACTGGATTCAAACTCGAGTAAAAAAATGGGTTAGACTTTTGTTTGTTTTTTATTGCATAATTTTCATGCATTCCGAATAATGAATGTGTTGCGAATAAAAGCAACTCCCAAATGCTACAACAATGGTTCTCAACCTTTTTTGCCCTATGTACACTGCGTAAAAAAATGGGGGACAGTTCGATATCTCCCGTTCTATTGGGCCGATTGACGAAATTCAACTTGCGTTTTTCATTTCTCGAAAGCGCGACTTAGAATATGTATTAGATTTATATATAGCACTGCTGTAACATAGTGCTATATATATTATATATATATATATATATAAGTTAAAAGAAAATTCTTAGTGCTTATGCTAAAAGTAGCTTAGATACTGTGGTTCCAGTGACAAATTTTAACATAAGTATGAAGTGCAATAAAAAGTGTAAACATTAAACAAACAATATTATCACTAGAATATTTACAAATAAATTTAAATCTAATGTAAGTAATATGTTGATCAAGGCAAACTTTAAACAATAGAATAGATAGAATATTTAAACAATAAATATTTAAATAGATTTTTAAATAATAGATATTTAAACAATAGAATAAAAGTGTGACATAAGATTTAAGCAAAATTACAAAAAAAAAAGCGGTAATTGTAGATTAGCCCAATTCGAATCTCATTACTGACTCTTCAGTGGAAACTTTATAAGGATTAATCCAGCTAATTCCATATCGCGTTTTTCGTGAAATAGACAATTAAAGAAATATATATATATATATATATGCTTTTATATATCCTTAGGGAGATATTTGAGAATCCCTGTGCTATAACATGCTTTGCTATCATTGTTGTTAACCAATCCATTTGTTTTTCCGTTTTGTATTTTCTGTTGGCAGCGGCAGCTTTGTTTTACCTGATGGCTCGTGATAATAATTTTTCCCATGTTCCGCAATAAACAAACTTATCTTCCTCTTCAGACAGAGCTCAGTGAAACGGTAGGCCATTTAAACTACTTGACTAGAAGTTGATTAATCACCTATCGCAAGGCACAGAAGAAGTATATATTGTAAAATAGAATATATACAGAACAAATATATATTTCTTCTGTGTATATTCTATTTTACGTGAGGCACATAAGAAATATGTGTTGTAAAATCTCGCTTAGCCGAAATTCCGTTTAGCCAAAAGAATGAAGACATGTAATATTGAATCAGTGAGTTCTAGAAACTGAACCCTTTTTAAGGATTGTAAAACTGATGAACCGGTTTACCTCTGATTGCGAAGTATAACGTAAAATTTTAACTGGTTAATCGATATTATTTTACTGATATTTTGGTAAAAATATCAGTAAAGATAAAAAAGACTATTCATTTATGTCTTTTAAATACCATCGCCGGTGTGTTAAAGCCGCCGTAAATTTAAAATATTATAGAAATTTTGCAGGCGATAAACTTACATGCTCTTCTGATAAAATTGCAAACAATAAATAAATATACTAATACAGCATTACAATAAAACAAGAAACATTAACAGTAAATATACTAATACAACATTACAGTAAAACAATAAACATTAACAGAATATATACTAATACAACATTATCATTAGATAAAATATAATACAGAAATATTATGTTATGAAAAACGCTAATTTATTTAACACTGACATTACACTAGTATTCCTACTTGGCAAATTAACAATAAAAAGACGAAGAATACTTTGAGGAATCGTATCAAAGAAAGACGAAATACTTATTCTGATGTTCTGCAAAACTGTAATGACAATGTCATGGAGTTTTTATAAATTCCAGCAAACCTCTTAAATGATAATTGATACGATTTATTGCTATGAAATCTCAAGTTGAATCTGCTTGCAAACAGAATATTTTATGTGTAGTTAATCGTTTGAACCAATAAGCATTTGTTAGTATGTCGTCCGAAGATCATTTTTCTGAAATTTTATTTGCTTAGGTAGAAATGTCTATCATTCAATCATTTACTTTGATCCAGTGACCGCCTGCCTTTATGGATTCAAAAACATGAGCAAAGCGTATTAATCATGTTTTACTGTAAAACGACAATTTATCCTGATCTTTTTTCTGAATGGAAATGGATAATCTACATGGAATGTTTTCCTGAGGAAACAATGCCTTCCACAAAGACATAATACACAGATTTCTAAAGAGAATGCAGCGCGTTAGATCTGAAATAGCTGAATCGAATATCTTATTTATCGAATATCTGCTATATAACAATGCACCATTACACAATTCCATTCTCGTTTAGCATTCTTGTAGCAAAGAAGATTGTCACTATCACAACCTTGCATACTGCTTTATCTTCCCTGAAAAAAAATTGCACTCCTTGAATGAAGTTTAAAAACATTTAAGAGTAAAAGCTTCAGAAAACTGTAACTTTAAACAAAAACTACAGGATCCAAAAGATGAATCCTTAAAAGCAATTAAAATAACTATGAACATGTGAAGCGCTATACATATTTATAAAGATTGCATAACGAGGCTAAAAATTAAGATATTGTTTTCTTCAGTTTTCGATGTTGTATGAGTTTAGATCTAAACTTTGTAGATGTACTGCGTATGCATTTGAGCAGCACAAGCTATGTTATTTCAGTTGAAACCATAAGGTGAACTGTTGAAAATTATTTTTTGAACACCAAGGACCCGCTATCACTATTTCAACGGTCTTCAAAATTATTATGCGATTTCATACAGCGAGATTAAAAAACTTAAGAAATGCGAATTCGAGGTTCTAACACGATATAGCCACAAGCACACATCACAAATAAATCTGAGGAAGCCTGCAAAAAATACTTCCCCGACGCCTCATTCCGCAACAGGGATGACATCGTATGTCCAGCGCATTCACCAGATCTATAAACACGTGATTCGTTTCACTGGAATTCGTAAAACTGAAGTCTTTAAACATAGACTGCAGAGGATTGAGAAAAGAGATGCCATTCGCTCTGATATCGAAACGGTACATTAACTGCACACTGCTGAGCTTCTGCGGGAAGCTTCAGGAATATAAAAGTAAGAGCTACATTCGTAGGATCGAGGCTTTGTAGAATCGATACGACATAGAATCGATATGGAGCAAAATTGGCACCGGCATATGAAATACTCACTAACATAATCGGCACGATAAGAAAATAATTTTGATAATGATGCAGTAATGAGTTTAAAGATCAATGCATATTTTGTCCCTTGCACAAAGTCGTCGCTGGTATATGAGTGAGCCCATACAAAATCGATACCGTCGTACCATTGACACAGCTTAGGTCCGAAGACTGCGTAGATCGATATGGTGTAGTACCGTAACACTGGCATTGGCACAGCATACATAAGGTTTATAGCTACTTACAGTGCATAATCAAGAAGGAAATAATAATTTGACTAATTTATTATTTTAGAGTAGCCGTATATTGTTAGCAAGACATTGGCGTAAAATCGAAATCGATTATTAAGCTACTGTGTCAATAATGTGCCAGTAAAGACGCTATATCGATCTCAAGTAGTATCGATCTTGTACCTCATTTCTCTCCCCCCCGGGGGTCGACGTAGAGAACTCTGCGAAGCTACTGGCTAGGATCTGTACCTAGGCAGTCTCGGCCACGGGGGTATAAAAGTTTTGAACTTGGCGGTTCCCGATGGTCCATGGGGTAGGTTTATACTTGCTCTTCATGGGCCGGGAGGTGTAAGTCCCTTCCACCAGGGTATTGGTAGCCAAATAGCAAACTGGGCCATTGAGCGTCTGGTCTCTGCTGTCCTTGGTATTCCATGTAAAAGCCTAAGGAGAGGGGCATCCCGTGTAGTGCTGGCAGGTAGCCCAATATAACGGCCGGTCATCGACCCTAAGTTGTCATCGCCCACCCCACCGTGGTCTCGGCCCGGCCGAGACGGTGGTCTTGACTTGGTCGTGTTTAGCGGTGGGCTCGATGTTCGTTGAGCGTTCATCAGAGGGTTCTTTAAAAGTGTTGGTGTCTCGGGGGTGTGGGACCCTGGGCCCAGCAAGCGAGTTCTAACCACCCATAAGGTGGCTTCTGACTGATTTTCAGTCCCTGTAGTGCTATTAAGTTAGCGGAGCAGGTACAAATTTAGTTAGTTAGTACCTCATTTCTAGCTTTCAGATGATATTATTTTCCAAAAAAAGCGATAACAAGCTCATGTATACTGCATAACTGTACAATAATATTTGGTGTAGGATTTGTGCTGTTTTTTATATTTCTATTTCAAATCTGCGATATTTTACAGTCAAATTCCTGTACAAGCATGAATTTCAGATGACCAAACTTTAATTTTTTTCTCTTCGCTGATTTCGCATTCTGTTCATTGTTTTTTCAAACAATGTTACATCGCATTCGAACAACAATAAGATACTAAAAATTAAGGAGCGTGACATACCGCATTAATCTCCCCCTGTAACTGGTAGCTGAAACCTGCGATGACTAGTTCTGTGACCGTGACAAAAGCAGCAGCCAGGCCCACTTGGTACCATTTCGGAAACGGCAAGAAGATGGTGGCACTAAGTAGTGGATATGCCGAGAAACGTGGTGAAGCCGACAGCCCGACAGTTAAGTTACGAATGCTGGAGGCCATCTCTGCCGCTACCGTTAAAGTAAGGATGAGGAACGATACAATGAGTCTGGAACAGGCGCTGAAGAACCAACGCTCCTGGTAACTTATGATGTAGAGAACGAGACTAGCAGAAGTTAGAGCAATTCTGAACCCAAGAGGAGTTTTTAAATTATTAATGGAGTTCTAGAAAGAGAACAAAAATAATTAGAAGAATATTAGTTAAAAAAATAGTTTCACAATATAGTATATGAAAAAAATTAAAAATAGTTAATGTCGATAAATGCAGACTGGAAAGTAATGATCAGAGTTATATAATGTTGTACAAAAATAGTTTTATTGCAGTTACGCGGAAAAAAGTTTTTTAAGACTTTACAGTACTTCTACGATTGCAGTGCTGCTAAGATTTTGTCAATAATACCACGGTCTATATCAAAGTGACACTTAACATCAATCCATATTCAAGTAGGAACGTCCATAGTCACTGCATACTTTGTTGCTAGTGTTCTATAAAAACACTGGTGACATTCGGGTATCTGGCCCACTTTCTGCTGTCCTGCAGGTATCTTAACCTTTGCTGATAATATTTGGTGTCAAAAATCTGAAAAGTGATACAGCCGTTTATAGTGATTCGACGTAAAATGCCGTTGTTTCGAGACCAATAGCCCTTCTAAGCTAACGCCCCTTTGGGATAAAAAAAAAAAAAAGAGGAGGGAAGAGAAGCAAAACAATTATAACCTCTTCCGTTAGTTTAAAGTAGAACTATACCTTTGTTTAAATTCTTTTAATAAGCTACATTAGTTTTTATTAAAATGTTATATTCCTTTCCTGAAAACTTTCATTGGACAGAAGCCGGTGCCTCCTGTACGGGATTTTAGTATCACATTCATGACGTAAGCACTAGAAAGCGCAGCAATATAACATTGCCTAAATGCTAAGACCGGTCCCTAAAGATCGATGAAGTGTAAACAGAAAGGCTTACGTCGCCATGGTCCAATGCCGCATTTAACGCTTTAAAGACTTTTGGGCGCGATTCGGTAGTTTAGATACCGTAAGAATCGTTTAGGAAACCTGGAATGAAAATTCTCCGGAAATTTTGAATTCCGGAAGGTTAGGTTTATCAACTTTTTTTATTTACCTCAAAGAAGCTATGCGTTTCCCTTAACACATAAATTTCTAAAATATAATACCTGTAGATATTATCATCTTTGAAAACTTACGAACAAGAGGAACGGTAACCAAAGGAATCGATACGCAGCCCGTTTCACATAATTGCCACTGCGCAAAACATAAAACCTTTAATTTATATTCTATGGGCCTTCGCGCACGATCAGTTTTAATAATGTTACCATTCGACAAAAATAAATAAATAAATAAAATCTTTATTATTCTTCATATTTCATCCATATGTTACTGATTAATAAATTTAGCAATTTAAAATCAATAAACATTATTCCTTAAGCATTTTTATTTTTATCCTTAATTTTTATTTTTATCCTATGTTTAAGAATAAATCTAACTAATACAAATTAAATACACTTTTGGTCACTAAAATTATTACGATATGAAAGAGCTGCACAACAAACCAGAAATTTTCATGAAAGATAGAATATACCGAGATATGCAAATGATTAGCATTTCACGGCACGCACACATTACAGGTAAGCAGTATAAAAAGGCAGACTGAAATTCCGATTTTTTTTATTCAGAAATCGCAATTACTTTTTTTTTTTTTTTTTTTTTTTTCTTCTGGAGAATTTGCAGTTGATGAGTGCAGGAAGGTCACACAGAACGGCATGCGGTATCTCAACACCCCCACTCATCAATGCTTGAGACGATAGATATCTCGACAGCATCGTTATTAAGGATCGTACAATCATATCACATAATCTGGCTAAGAAAACAGGATATCTAGCACAGTATCAAATATCTGCATGCTCGATGCGACAAAATTTTCAACACTACGGATTATCAACAAATTATTACCGCAACGGATTATCATCGCTTCAGAATCTCTTGATTAAGGCACCGATTAGTTTGTGTTATTAGTTTCACAAAGACTGGTATGGCAACACAGGTGACAGGTGACGGAGGACGGGGACGCCTGGTGTTTAACAGGGGTAAGCAGGCATATGTCCCACGCCCTCCACTAACCAGATGCAACAACTCCCTGGAGCCGCACAAGGCCGCACCTGGAGCTTATTGATATTCCATTCAGATTAAACATGGCCATACAGGGGCGACATTGTGCTACATTGAAATTTGATGTACATTTGTGGGTGGGGCAGTCTTGTTTGTACATTAAACAGAGCATAAACACACATGAAATGTGCACATAAATAAATAAAAAGATTACATGAATATTAAAAACACCTATAACTTTCAAACACCTAAGACGCTTCAGACACGTAGACACCTAAACACTTAAAGACACTTGAGAAGGTACACAAAAACAATTAAACAATTAATACAATACACAATACAATATGCCATTGAGGTAATACAATGTACAGTGACAATATACAATAATAAACGCATATAATGCAATACTCACATGCTCAGAAGATACGTAACGCAGTGCATATGTACACAGTACACATTACGCAGGACACATGAGTGATAATCTGAGATATTAGCATGTTAACGCGCGCAATGCAGTAGCGATAGTAGTGTACAATCAATGTGGCTGCAGAGGTAATACAATTTGCAATAGAGGTAATACAATATACAATAATACAAAGTGCAATAATAAACACATATTATGCTGTACTCATATGCACAATTGATACCAGACGCAGTACACAGATACATGGGATGCAGTACGTAGGACACAGGATACAATGCAATATGCAGCGGAGGTAATATAATATACAGTAATACAGTAATAATCACATATAGTGCAGAATTCATATGCATATAATTTACATAACGCAATACATAAATACGCAGAACACTTTACTCAGGACACATATGTAATAATCGGAGATATTAGCATAGGTATGGCAACACATATCATCCAGTACGATAGATGAATTCTGGCACAGAAACGCAGACGCATCGACTTTGAGTATCCCATACTGCCATCCAGAATCTGTCCCACTTCACGCCTAGCCGTTAACAGCTGCTATTTTAGCGAGAAGTGGACGGGCACTAATGTCTGCATATTCTGAATAGTTAAAGTTTTGCTCATTTCATCTTTTTATTATAATGTATTTGCAATGTAAGTATGATTCTTGCTTTCCTTCATAGCATAGCAATTTTAATATTCAGCAGTGTCTTTTCGTTACGCGTAATTGCTTCATCTATTGTTCCAGTCGTCACCGCTTCAAAATAAGAGTCACATTTATATTCTGATAATCTAATTTTAGTAAAATTTTCTTATTCAAAATGAAAATATTGAAATTAATTTTTACAAATTTTATGTAAAACGCTCTTCGGAAAATTTCTTGAGAAATGAAAAATCAAAAAGACTTTTTCTTCCTCAAAGTAGGTACAAACATTTTAGTTTCATATATTTGACAATAGTAAGCATTACTTTTATTTATGAAACGACAAAATTCCTTCTGAGGTATGAAAGTGTATTTTGAAGCTTTCAAAATGCATTTTTTCTTCCTTTTACTGATGTATTTATTTCCTTTTTGTCTATATATGACGAAACAATGTGGAATAATTTTGCTAATCAGTCTGAAAATCTTAGTGGCATTGTACACATATTGACAAATTACGTAGATAGGAAGGGAGGAGAGCGCAAGATTCCAGTTTGAACAAAATAATAATATCTAGAATAAAATAATCTCTGTCGAACAGGAGGTTGTTGGCTCTTTTTGGATTAATAACTTAATCGTGTTCCAAAAGCCAACCACAATATTTCATACTGATTGCCTCTCCTAGTGGTACGGTATGCATTAAGACAAAGCCATTACAATCATTTATGAGAATCAACATAATCTTCCCACTGCTGGATTCTTGATGAAATTTTGATTTTCGTTGTGACCTGTAAAGACATTCGATATATGTTTCAATTTTTAAATTCCACTGTGCCTCGTTCGAAAACGTTGTAGCTACATAACATTAAAACGTCAACTCGAGATCTCGTACTACCGTCGCTAGCTCGTGCAAGCTGGCCTAAGATTCATTAGATAGGTCTAAAGATAGTCTCTCCATCGCGCTCATGGCATTCTAGGTATGTTTCAACAACATCTTACTTAAGCTACTTCAGCATTTTCAACAACTGCGTTGGTCTTGCTTTGAGATCATGATGCCTGCATAACCGTAGACCGCCAACTTACCCGAGACTGTTCTCGTCACTGCATGCATGTGGAACTTCGGAAAAGATTCTCAGTTTTATGTGACACTGAAATAGCGTGTGGTATAAATGATAAATGCTGGCTCCCTTTTATGGCGTGTACGGCAGAATTCACCCTGTTAAATCTCCAACTCACGTATTTTTCACATGGCATGGAATATATGTATAAAAATAGTATGCCCGAAGTTAAAATATTCGTTTATTAACCAGCTGATTAAACTGTAGACATAGTCATTCAGTAATCACTAGTAACACTTGAAACTTTTAATTAAAGTTTCAGTTTCAGCTCTTTTAGTAAAGAATCTTTCCTGCTAAGCCAATCTGTGCACAATATTAGTCATAGTTTTATTTCGCATTTTTTCCTTTTAGGAAATTATTGTCATAGAATTCATTCCCTCTTAAATATAATGAGTAATTCTGACATTTGTTTATTTGGAGTCAAATGATTTGGCTCACTCTTCAACTGGTCTTCCCATATAATTTCAGCTCAAAACCAAAAGCAACTGGCATGAACGAATATTATAAAGTTTCGACAAGAACAACTAGATTCATTAAAAAGCATCGAATGACTCTCTCAAAACATTCGATTAATACAGGGTAAATTAGAAACTTCAACGTTCTTGGAAATGCTGTTTCTTGTAAAGCACTAAGATACACACAAATGAGTGATAAGTAGTTATTTCTTTGCATAAAGGAGAACGTGATTTACGTACTACAGTCAAGTGCAGCTTTGAGTTATAGTAGAAGATGATTCGCAACAGACATTGCTTGAAATCAAAGGAAAGTCAAAAGTAAATTGCATAAAAATTTGAAGGTATTTGAATGAAGTAAAGAAATGAAACAGAGCTGGTAAACGGATGCCACATACATTAACGGAAGCCCAGAAAACACAACACATTAGTATTTATGATTTTCTTTTGTCTCGACACTAAAAGAACTCTTTTCTGGATTCGAGCATTATAAGCGATGGAAAGCTGTTGCTATGTGACAATCTGCTGGGATTATACAAAAGCAATGATTATGATAAGATGATACACCCAGTTATCCAATAATAAAGTATGCAAGAGAAAAGAGAGGAAAAAAAAAACCAACGTCTTACTGTGCATTTGATGAGGAAAACGAAGTATTAGTCATTACAAGATTCAAAATTGATTGCCTTCGATTCACGTATTTTAAAGAGAAATGGCAATTACGTTGCCTGCATTCGCCAACAAGAAAGATGTCCTGCCACGGTATAAAACATTTTCCCACAATTCTTCATGGAGCACACAGCAGAAACAGAAGATTCGTTGGGAGGTCCTGCTTCACCCATCTTATAAACTCAGACATACCGCCGTCCAGGGCCTATTCTACACTTTCTTCCGCTTGGTACAAGCAATTGATTAATTCTGCCATTGGTGCGACTGCACTGGTTGCACCAACGACCGACCATCTCATTAACGATTTGTTTTGAATAATAAACTGTTTTTAGCTACGAAACAAAATACTTCTAAATATATGAAAGCATGTGTGTGACTAATACTTCTGATAAGAACATAGTCTAGATCAGGTCCACGAATAAATCAGGGCCCGAAAGGTAAACGATGGAGCCTATCGATGGCTGATGCTTTGGGCACTTACAGGTAACTATACGAGTTTGTTTAACTCTGTCCCATTTTCCGTGGAGAACATCCAGGTTTGGATCTAAGAGTCTCCTACCTCTCGTTCTTTATCACTAACCTCTCAAGAAGATAAGAAGAAGTAAACAGGGTATCGAGAAGTGTTTGGCCTATATCGGCAGTCTGATTTCCAGATGGGAAAAGATGATAGCAGGTGGGGAAAGTGATGGAGCGTAAAAATAACGTAAAAGTGAAGTACGTTTTGCGTGTTCTCACTTCAAAGTGGACCTTTAGGAACGACAGAATTTTAAATGATCCAATAAAATTATATAAAAAGACTCCCTTCGAACAGTTTGACCAACAAAAATGTATCGAATATTTTACAGATATTTAAATATTTTAGTAAAAATTTCTTTTCTATGAGGTGGGAAGATGCTATCATTACTTTGAGGTATTTTTATAAGATATAAATTTTTAGCTAACAAAAAAACAAAACAAAAAAAAATTGAGCAAAACCGTAGTAAGGTGAGGAACCTGTGAAAACATGTCTTCTGAAATCTAATTAAAACATTAGCAATTTACAGCAATATCCATTAATCAAGAATCTTACATACTTCTGAATAAAGACATAGCAGCAAAATGGCTGCCGCTCCCGATAAAACATTGGCAGTGAGTATGAGAAAAAGCATAGCGTGCTGAAGACGGGATTGGTACTTCTCGAAAAGGGACTCCGCATTCTTTATGCAGAACTGTTCCTGAAAAAGGAAGAAAAAAATTAAATAATAAATAAAATACTAAAAAATTTTAAACAGAAAAAATTTTCAGATTTTATAATACGTTTATAGGGGCTTTTTTTTTATTTACACAGACATACACGTTTCAAGAGCACTTGATTTTATGTCCCCTTTTGGCTCAAAATGTTTGAAAGCAGCAATTCTTTAGAATTTCCGATAGGTAGTATCGCATGCTGGAGATAAAAATGTTTTATTCCCTGCAGTACTACACTGCTCGCTTTGAAATCCTTGAGTTTTAATCAAAAGATTCTTTAAAGTTTTATAAAATATGAAATAGATAATAAAACAATTTCAAAATTCCAAATTCGAGCTTCCAGGTGCCTATATTAGGATGAAGGACTACGTTATTCAAAATTTGATTGTTCAAGGTACCGTTGCTTTTGCATATTGCAAGAAACATGCACACATTCGTGCAGATTCTTCATTATTTAGCATCTTTAAATATAATACAGAACGATTCATATTTGGTGGCAACAATTTGAAAAGTGATTCGACGCAAAATGCTGTTTCGAGACTAATAGCCTTTCTGGGCTAATGCCGCATTGGGCTAAATACGTCTAAATTAAGCTACTAATTAAAACGCGTTCACATACAGGTACACATGTAAAAGTAGGAGAAACACCAGAACATCATTATTGATCACCAGTACTCTTCCCTCTTACCAGCCTTCTAAGAGCATCCCGACCTCTTCGACCTGTGACTTAAAGCCACGTTTGTTCATGCCACAGAACCAGTCCCGCAATCTTCGGCAGCCTTTCATGCGCATCCTAGCATTCATAAATACTACCATTAACATTTTAAACAACAATAGATAAGACACAATAACACGCCGAATAAATACTAATTCAGAAGTCAAACAACAAAAATCAGCGTTAATTTACAAAATTTAATTTAATTTTGTAAATTAACGCTGATTTTTGTTGTTTGACTTCTGAATTAACAATAGATAATTTTATACCAACATTTCTTGTTGCTGCTGAAGCCGTGTCTTTGAGGAGGTCACCCTATAGATATTCATGGAGCTTCTTGAAATATGAGTTTGTTTAATTTGAAAAATCTAATTCTTTCATTGATATTCATGTGTTGCCATTCGATGTGACGTAAGAATTGTAATCTATCTTTTGAATTATTTCTGCTTGATAAACTGAGCTATTTAAGAGCAATGAAGGTACCTTTTTGTCGTTTCAGTAATTTGTTTATGTCACAAGAAATGTTTTCAATGGAATCATTTCAAACATTATTTGATTGGTGCGTTAAGTTTCAATACCATGCATTTATCGTACATTGAATTTGACTATGACTTCTGTGGTGCGTAATTAAACTGGGTATTCAACTTAATGTTTCACCACAGAATTTTCTTAATTTGTTTGCAAGTTAATGTCTTTATAATTATTAAATTCTCAGCACAAACAAGACGAGTTAAGATCATATATTCATTGTCGACATTTGGTAGTTTTAAAAAAATGACTTATCGTTAAGCAATAGTTAATATTACGCAATATTTTCAGTGAGACAGTTTGGCTTGTCCCTAAAATTCAGATTGTTTACAACAAGGTCCTAAATTAGAAAGTAAACACCTCGTTGGATTCACTATCGCTAAATTCGTAGAACACTTACCGCACAACGATTAATTACTTTCAGCCGCTCACAAAACACAACAGGAATTTATTCTCAAACATAGCAATGGCGTATAGAAAGTTACGACAGTCTTACGTTTACCTTCTACTTTAAACTATGGTGCATGCCAATAAATTTACTGTCTTTCTGATGTAACAGTTTAAGGTATCCGAACACATTCAGAGTATACATTTAAAAAAAAAAGAAATATACAAACACTTTAATCATTCTTTTAGCTTTATTTTATGCTATACACATTAAAGATAGACTATTAAATGTTTGAAGTAACTCATTATTGTTTCACAACAATGTAAAACTAAGCAATCGGAAATGAAAGAAGTTTGCCAAAATCCTATATGAAAAAATTGGGACTTATTTCAGAAATAAATGCCCTAAAATAAACCATAATTTTTTTTCCAGGGCTTGTACTGTTTCTAAATGCTATTTTAAAGCTAAAAAATTGGAGAGATATCAGAAGAATAATTACAAGATTTTCGGGCATATTTACCATGATATTACTAAAAAAGAGATACCATTAATAGAAAAGTACTCACGCAATCAAATTTTTAGTACATGCACTAGAAAATAAAATATAGTAATAAAGTACGCGGAGTTTCATACAAATGGGTGTTTTGAGCAAATCATTTTTGAAATTGCGAAATTATGTATAAAATATACTAGTTGAACTTTTACAGAATACGAGCGAAGCTCTTTCTTAAGTTCTGTATTCCTTCGTGTAAGAATTTTAGAATAAGATTCAGGAATGCAGCTTCATAGGTAAATGTTTAAATATGATCACTATGTTCTTGGTCTTATTTCAGCATTTTGTTGCAGCTGGTGCAGCTTGTTGAAATTTGCACTAGCTTGTCGGGACTGAAAACACACCAACCATGCATCGGCTGCTTTACATTTGAACGGCTATGGAACATTGTTCTGCCTACCTTACAAATTATTTTCTTATTTTTCTTTTCTGCGAATCAGAATCCTATAATTATGCAACTTAAAACATTCTGAAGTTTTCTGGGAATATTTTCGACGACTGAGTCAGCATGCTTTTGAATTGGACAATGTATTTATATTTGATTACATCTATATTCTAAATTGTTATTATCATCTCAAAACCTTGCTGAAAAATTAATTAAGATTTTTTTCTCTTTAAACTGGTTTTTAATAGATTTTTCAGCCTTTTAAAAGGCCATTTCTAGGGATTTAAAAGCTCATTTCCAGTTCTCCATACTTCATTAAAGCTTCAATATCTTCTCTTCCAATTAACACAGAGATACTCACAAAATTGTCTCTGACGGCCCATGACTCTAAATATTATAGTATGTTATGAACTAAGATACAGAATTTGTTATTTATTTAATTATTTTATTTTTATTTTTATTAGCCCAAAGGGGCAATTTGTCAAGAAGAGATATGAATTCCGTTTTGGTATTTTGCGTTGGTCCACTATAAACGGCTTTTCACCTTTCAAATTGTTGTCGCCAAATACAGCCCTGCATTATATTTAAAGAAATTAAATCTGCATAAATGTACGCATGTTTTTCGCACTGTAAAAAGACAACGGTACCTAGAGACATGGAATTTTGATTAACGCAGTCCTCCACTCGAATATGGGCATCTGGAAGCCTAAATTTAGAATTTTTTTTATTGTCTACTGCACATTTTATAAAACTTTAACGAATTTTTGATTAAAAAATTCAAGATTTCAAAGCGAATAATGGCAACAAAATCTGAAAACTTACGTTTTAGTTCAAAGAGACTTTGTCCCTGAAGGACTACTGTTTCCGTTTTGCGTTGGTTCACTATAAATGTCCGTTTGACTTTTCAAAATGTTGCCACCCAATGTTAGAGTCCTGTATTATATTTGAAGAAATTAAATAATGAAAAATCTGCTTAAATATATGTCTATTTCTCGCATTCTGATAAAACAACGGTACATAGAGCCAGCCAATTTTGAATGACGCAATCCTACTGCATGTAAGCCCAAATTTGAAATTTGGAATTTGTTTTATGGTCGATTTTATATTTTGTAATACTTTAACGAATTTTTTATTAACAAACTCAAGGATTTAAAGCGAGCAATGGCAACGTTGTACAGAAAAACATTTTTTATCTCCAGCGCCCTAGACTCTGTATCGGAAATTCTGAAGATATCTTGAATTTAAAGCTATTTTGCAATATTGACCTTGAATTGAATTTTATGGTTTAAGTGAGAAGACCATGATATTTAATAAATAAAGGTAACACACAAAATGTTAAAAAAACGCCCCTTTGAACTTAATTTAAAATCTGAAATCTTTCAGATTTTTTCTTTTTTTTAAATAGCCCAAAGGGTGTTAGCCCAGAATTTCGTTTTGGCAGTTTGTGTTGCTTCACTTTCTGCGTTGTTTCACTTTTCAAACTGTTGCCACCAAATATTACAAACCTGTATTATATTTATATTATACAGACCTGTATTATATTAGACTTGTGTTAAAGATTAAGTAATTAAATAATGATGAACTTGCATGAATGTATGTATGTTTCTCGCATTGTGATAAAAACAACGGTACCTAGAGCCATCCAATTTTGAATAATGTAATCCTCCACCGAATATGGGCATCTGGAAGCCCTAATTTGGAATTTGTTTTATTATGGATTTCATATCTTGTCAGACATTTGAGAATTTTTGATTAACGAACTCAACAGTTTCAAAGCGTGCAATGGCTACACCGTACGGAAAAAATGTTTGTCTTTCAACGCGCGACACTGTGTATCGGAAATTCTAAAGCTATGCTCCTTTTAAAATTATTTTGCGAAGTTGCTGTTGAATTGTATTTTATGTTTTACATGATATTTAATAAATTAGGGCAACACACAAAACATTAAAAAAAAGCCTATTTGGGAATAATGTAAAACTGAAAGCTTTCAGATTTTTTTTTTAAATTTTTCTTTTGATAATGAAAATTATTTACTTGTGCAAGCAAATTGTAAGCTAAATCAGCAATAAGCTCTAATTAATAAGCTGTAACTGTAAGCAAACTGTAAATCGGAGTATTGACGGTGGGTTGGCAACCAGCTGTTACAGTACTATATCAGTGAATAATTGGTTAGATAAAAAATAATCCTACTCCTTAACATTATGATATTTAATATTACGGGCAGTGAATTCGCAACGGCTTCTATTTCACCAGGAAGCGATTGATTTTCAATGTCTGTCTGGTGAAAACAATATTCCCCGTAGCAAAGCAGAAGAGTACTTATTTTCCTGGAAAAGAAACCAGAATTTATTTTTTCTTTTAGAATCAGATTCAGAAAATTCTAGTGAGCAGTAAGCAGAATCTTGACTGATTTTGAGA